AACATGCGCTGATTATGAACAAGATACCATTAAGAAGGCGGCCGCCCTCGCCTCGCTCCTCCAGGTTGTTAACGTTAATACGAGATGATCATATGAATATTCCAGACTTGGCTCGCTTGTGGCTCCAAGAGTAGCGGGTTTTTGCACTTTGTGTACATAATTGAAGCTTAAAACTGGTCGGATCTTTGATTACCATTTTAGTCTTTTTTTTTTAAGGGGGACATCGATGCCCTTGTCAATGGAAGATCGATCGCTGGGTGTGCTTGAGTTGAGTTGGAGGCGACGCATATATCTGGATTATATTGTAGGTTGTGGGTCTTCTTTTATTGATGTATTCGGGTTTGATGGGCTATTGATTTGTGTTCAGAAACTTGGATCGAAATGAGAGGTGTTTCGCCTTGTCCAGACTCGCCAGGACCGACTTGCAGATTTCAGTAATCAACAACGCTCGGGTATGTTTATAAAGAGAAAACCTATTGGCACAGGTAGTTTCCCAGCAAATATTATTTATCTTCCCACATGATATGTAGACTCTTAATCACAGGTTTAGTGCACGCAAGACTGTGCATGATACATAGACTCAGCGAAAGGTATATGGTACACGTAGTACAATAAAATTACATCGTACGTTCTTGAGATAAAGCACGCATGCTCAGCGCCCCCCGTGGAACACAGGTGCGCGCTGGGTGCAGGGGGAAGGAAGCAGGCACCTGTTGCGTCATGAGCGGCGGCGGCGGCGGCGGGGCGAGCGCAGGTGTGGTCCCGGCGGCCGTAATGTATGTTGAGTCCATTAGTGTGTTATGGGTGGCGGCCGAAGCTCCCCTGTCATGAGAACGGATTTACTGCCGACCACAGATGACATGATAACCACGCTATGTTGCGGAGGTGAGGAGGAGGAGGAGGAAGAGGCGAGCGGAGGGGAGGGAAGGGAAGACAAATGGGATTAATTGGCAGGAGATGGAAGGGAAGATGATAAGAAAGACGGGAGGTAGACATGTACGGCTTTGGAAACGACTGGGCGCATTATAAAGGTAGGGAGATAAGTATGATAAATATGTATATACAGGTATGCGTATACTCATTGAAAATTCATACATCTATATGCATTGCAAAGCTGAGCGTATGAATAAACAAAAGGATGGGTTAATTATATATAAAATAAGATATAAGATATTATATATTCAGCATTCCATTATACAATGCGCGATCACCGAATAATTATTTGAGCGCAGAGTGGCTGCGCAGAGCGACTCTCTTGCTCGCGTTTTAATTATTCCACTTTTTAAAGCGAGGAGAGGCGAGCGCGGCGCGGCGGCTCGCGGCCCCCCGCCCGTGTAATGGATAGCAGGAAGATCTCCCTGGCCCTGTATCGCAACGGCCTTAATGATCGCCCGAATAACCATTAGACTCCTCTTTAATGTATGTAAATTGATTACTGCTAAGTGTGCACCGTTTGTCCGAGGCCCCATGCAGCCCCCTTGGCGGAGGCGCTTGCAGCCTTTTGTTCGCTGCGCCCGCGCTGTTCCCGCTACAGCTGGTGCTGCTGTAGGGCCTCGAGGTGCAGCGAGGGCCGGGCGGCGCGTTGACGGGCGGGGGTGTGCGCTGAGAGGGCGATATGCATGTCGGACACGAGTATATCAGGCTAACGGGCAGGGCCACCAGCGTCGCTGCGCCGCCCGGGCACGCCAGCGCCGCCCTCGCTCCTCGCCGGCGCGCCCCCGCCGCCGCCGGCCTTCGGGCCCTGCACTCGCCGCTTTCCTCGCTTTCCCTCGGCAGTCTGCACTTCTTGCCTCCCCCTCCCCTACGCCTGTTGTTTGTCCTTCATTCCTTTCCTTCTTTCTAGTCGCTCTGTTTCTTTACACCCTCTCTCTCTCTCTCTCTCTCTCTCTCTCTCTCTCTCTCTCTCTCTCTCTCTCTCTCTCTCTCTCTCTCTCTCTCTCTCTCTCTCTCTCTCTCTCTCTCTCTCTCTCTCTCTCTCTCTCTCTCTTCTCTCTCTCTCTCTCTCTCTTCTCTCTCTTCTCTCTCTCTCTCTCTTCTCTCTCTCTCTCTCTCTCTCTCTCTCTCTCTCTCTCTCCTCTTCTCTCTCTCTCTCTCACTCTCTCTCATTCTCTCACACTCTCTCTCTCTCTCTCTCTCTTTCTCTCACTCTCTCTCTCGCTCTCTCTCTCATCCTCTCTCTCTCTCTTCTCTCTCTCTCTCTCTCTCTCTCTCTCTCTCTCTCTCTCTCTCTCTCCTCTCTCTCTCTCTCTCTCTCTCTCTCTCTCTCTCTCTCTCTCACATTCTCTCTCTTTCTCTCATTCTCTCTCTCTCACTCCCTCATTCTCTCATTCTCTCTCACTCTCTTCTCACTTCTCTCTCTCTATCTATCTATCTATCCCTGCATTATTTTTCCTTCTCGTTCTTGAGATAGATTCCACTTGAATCTTTAATTATCATCGCTTTCCCGCCTTTCTCAACCACATCTGAATATTCTCTTCTCCACTTTTCTTATTTTCCACATTCTTCCGATCTCTGCTCCCCCCCCCCTCCCCTCTTAGAACAAGGGGAAACGTGTTCAAGCGAGGTAGGGGAGGGGGAGGGTGGGGAGGGAGGGAGGGGGACTTCACTTGCACATGCACGACAATATTGTTGCAAGCACCGGACTCTGTGCAAGGTAATCTCGGCGAATATATACGTTGTTAAGGCCCGGGATGGTGTAAGATGTTGCCACATCATCATTAAAATCTCCGCCGACGCTGCCAAATCGCCTGTAAAATGATGTTAGTTTGCCTAGGTGTTTTATATATCGTGGATGAGACTTTCTTGTGGTAAATGGTAATTACACACTAAGTCAATCACGATTCCCCCGGCCGCCCGTCTGCACCGACCGGACGATGGTAACAAAAAAGAAAAAAAAGGAGAAAGAGAGAGAGAGAGAGAGAGAGAAAAAAAAACTTTGTCGAAACTCGAATACTGGTATTGTCCCTCCCCTGCGTTACCCTCTTTGTTTATTAGCGTAACAAGTCACAGCGAAATATGATGTTCATTAACTCAGAATCGCCGGAATATATTTATGATATTGATTTAAGTTGCATGATGTTACGTTATAATTCATGCGGGAGAGCGGGGTGCATGAGAGGCGCATCCCGACCCGCGAAGGGATGGTCGGCTCGGGAGCTTCGGGTCAAGACGTGCCCAGCCATCATGCCCGATAAGGGTCCTTTCCGCCCTCTAAATCACGGGATCGTCGCGCATAGGAACCCAGTCTTTAAGCGCCACCCCCCTCACCCCAACTCCTGCCCTCCCTCCCTCCTCTCCCTACCCGGTTTCTCTTGGCGTTTGGGGCATGAGAGTCGCCGCGGCAGCCCGTATCTAGTTAGCGTGTAGACATATCTGCGTCTTCATTATTTTCATTATGAGACGCTCTCGGTATTGTTGGTTTATGTTGGCCACGACGGAGCATCGCCCACCCACGTCGTCGTCAGGATCCTTCCCTCCCTCCCTCCCCTCCCCATCTTCCCCTTTGCCCTCCCCTGCTGTTGCACCTCCCCCCCCTCTCTCTCTCTCTCTCCCTCCCCCTCTTTCCCTCGCTCGCTCTCGTCTGAGATGCTGGGACATGGCGCGGGCCTTTGGGGGTGCAACTTGCATGCGGTTCTGAGGAGGCGGTCTCGGGGATGTTGCAAAAAATGTCCCTCTGCAATACACGTGTCGATCTGTTCTTGTTTGCAAAGGACCGGATTTCGGGTGGCGGTGCAAGTCTCTCGATAATCGTGTCTTTGCAGAATTGATCAGTCGGCCTCTGCGATTACATTAGTGTCAAACGCGTTGGATCAAAACAGTGCCATTATTTGCGCAGCTGGATGTTACTGTTTATTAAAACTGCACACGGCGAAACGGACACTAATAAATGACATTCTTTAGGTGACAGACAAGATGCATGGGCTTAATTGTGCGTAATTAAAAATTTTAGAATAATTAAAATCCCAATGTCTTCGTGGCATTATTTTACAGGTGGAGTAAATTGAGGAAAATAGTGAGGTTTTCAGTTTGCTTGTATCAAGATTTGTGATTATTATCCGTGGTATTGTTGCTGTTTTTGCTACTGTTGTTTCTTTGTTGTTCTTTTTGTTGTTATAGTTAACAGCAGCTCCATCATTTTGTTTGATCACTAGATTTATCATTGTTATCTTATGTGTAAAATTTTCGTCTCTTTTTAGTTTGAAAGATTTCCTCAAAGATTATCTCGAACGAAATTTCCTCCATATTCCAAAAAAAAAAAAGTTAAAAAAAGTCTTCATCCTTTCAGTTGTTCCGAACGTACTTATAGATATTTAGGGTTTAGTATATCGCGCATGAAGATATCTCATGAAGTTAATTGCGCATCACGTAGGAGGGGATCCCGGCAGGCAGCCAATGATCTATCATCGTAAAATGCTTTTCATGAAAGAAGTCTGACATAATATAATTTACCGAGTACTTACGCGTATTGTGAGGAGACTATAAAGTACCTCAACACTCGCGATGATAATCTGGCCTGTCATTGAGAGATGATGGTCCTCTCGATTCTCTCGGGGTCGAACGCGCGCTCTCGTCGTACACGGGTTGTCTCCTCTTGGTTTTCTTTCTTCTTGGGGGTTTCTTTTGTTTTGGTTTTTCCTTCTTTCTTCTTGTTTTTTTTCGTTTTTCATTCTTCTCCTTCGTTATTTTTTTTCTTCTTTTTCTTCTTTGTATTCTTGTTTTTCTTCGTATTTCTTCTACTTCTTATTTATCTTCTTCAATTTCTTCTTTCTTGTTTTTTTTTTCATTTTTCTTTTTCTTTTTCAAATTTTTCATGCCGGGAAATCGCGAGAAAAAGGAAGAACAAGGCAACGGAAGAGAAGAACGAATAAAACAAAAAAAAATAGAAAGAAAGAGAGAGAAGGCGAGAAACAAAAGGGAAGCCCTTGGTTAGCGAATCTGAGCCACTAAAGGTCTGCAGTCGATCGTTAAATCTATCGCGAGGGACTTAATTATATGTTAGATTAATCAAGTTCCCAGCGGGGGTAGAGTTGCTCGGGGGAGAGGGGGAGGGGGTGATGGTGCCCAAGGAACTGTTGTGCATGTGAGATGGTGCGTGATATGGTGAGATGGTGCATGATTTGGTGGTGAGATGGTGAGAGGATGCATGATATGGTGGTGAGATGGTGCATGATAGTGATGGTGCATGATGGTTGAGATGGTGAGAGGATGCATGATATGGTGGTAGGTGAGGATATGGTGGTGAGATTGGTGAGAGGATTATTGATGGTGGTGAGATGGTGAGAGGATGCATGAATGGTGGTGAGATGCGTGAATGGTGAGATGTGGATGCATGAATATGGTGAGAGGTGTGATATGGTGGTGAGATGTGAGAGGATGCATGATATGAGATGGTGAGAGGATGACAGATGAGAGGATGCGTGAGATGGTATGTGTGGTGTGAGATGGTGAAGAGGATGCATGGTGAGATAGTGCGTGCATGATATGGTGGTGAGATGGTGAGAGGATGCATGAAATATGGTGGGAGATGGTTGAGAGGATGCATGATATGGTGGTGAGATGGTGGAGATGCATGATATGGTGGTGAGATTGTGCATGATGGTGGTGAGATGGTGCATGAGATTTGGTGGTGAGATTGAGAGGAGCATGATATGGTGGTGAGATGTGCGTGATTTGGTGGTGTGATGGTGAGAGGATGTGATGATGGTGGTGAGTAGTGACGGTGCATGGTGATGAGATGATGGAAGGTGCATTGGTGAATGGCGAGATGGTGCATGATTCGATGGTGTGATGGTGAGAAGATGCATGATGCGAGATGATGCATGAAACGATTGTGAGAATGCACGTGACTGGATAGTGCGACGGCGAAACATGCGATGGTGAATAGATGCCGGTGCAAGATGGGATGACGGGATCCTAGCCCGTACGACGTCGAATATGGTGAGATGGTGAGGTGTCGGCCTTCCGTGATGGTGCTCATCATCAGCTGACGTGATGGCCGAGGAGAGAATGAAGATTTGATGTTGATACTTACAGAAGTTGATTGTGCCGGCGAGGGAGCGGAGATGGCGAGGCGATGGCGGCGGGAGGGTGGATCCGATGTGCTATTACTGTTGATATGATTGTGTGCATGCAAATGTGTGCGTGTGGTTGTGTATGTGTGTGTCTGTTAGTCTGTCTGTTAATATGTAAATTCGTGTATTTGTTAATGAAGCTAATGTCCGCGGGTAATGATGATATAAATCGTGAGGGACAGTAATGATTTTTTGATTTGCTCATCTCGGGCCTCATTAGGGCGCTAAAGAGCGATTGGGGCGATTGCGAGAGGCGTTGTCTTCTGCCCGATTTTCTCGTCTCTCTCTCTCTCTCTCCGTCTCTCAGTTCTCGCTCGAATGCTCTCTTCTCTTCTGCCTCTCTCTCTCTTCTCCTCTCTCTCTCGTTTCTCTCTTTCGCTCGTCGTCTCCCTCTCCCTCTCCCTCTCCCTCTCCCCTCTTTTTCCCTCTCCTCTCTCTCTCTCTCCTCTCTCCTTTCTTCCCTCTCCCTCCCCTCTCCCTCCCTCTCTCCCCCTCTTCCTCCTCTCTCTCGTCTCTTCTCTCCTCTCTCTCTCTCTCTCTCTGTCCTCTGTTCTCTCTCTCCTCCTCTCATCTCGTCTCAATCTCCCATCTCTCTCTCCCTCCTCTCTCTTTATCTCTCTCCTCCTCTCTCTCCTCTCTCTCTCTTCTCTCTCTCTCCTCCCTGTCTCCCTCTCTCCCTCTCTCCATTCTTTCCCTCACTCTCCTCCTCCCTCCTTCTCCCCTCACTCTTCCTCGGCTCCCCTCTTCTCCCTGTCCTATCTCTTCCCTCTCTCCTCTCCCCCTTCTTCCCTCTCTTTTCACTCTCCCTTCTCTCTTCTTCTCCTCTCTCCTCTCTCCCTCTCTCCCCTTCTTCCCTCTCCTCTCTCATCCCCGCTCTCTCCGCTCCTCTCTCTCCCCCTGTCCTCTCTCAACCCCTCTCTCCGCTCTCTCTCTTCTCCCCTCTTCTCTCCTTCTCCTCTCTTCTCCTCCCCCTTCTTTTCTCTTTCCTCTTCACCTCCTCGCTCTCCCCTCTCTTCGTCCCTCTCAACATATCTCACATCTCGTTCCCTCTTCCCTCCTGGTCTCCCTCCTCCCTCCCCTCCCTGCCCTCCCCATCCATAGCGAGAAATATTTACCCCCCTGTCTGTCGTCCGGGAATATGGGATCTAGAAATCAGAACTTTGACGTGTAATAACTCACGCGGATTGGAACGAACACGCTGTCTTGTTTTTTGGCTGGCGAGTGCCATAATGGCTGATGGGATTGTCGTCGGGGGGCACGGGGGGACACACTATGGTCCGCACACACACACAACACACACCACACACACACACACACACAAACACACACACACACACAAACACACAACACACACACCACACCACACACACACAACAAACATAAACATATATGTATACATATACAGACACCTACATACATATGTACATGTATATGCAAGTTGAAAAGGTGATGGAGAGGGCGGAGTCCTGCAGAAAAAAACGCGCACACAAAATAAACCTTTTGTTTTGTGGATATAAATACAAAGGCAGAATAGTTTGACAGGCCGCAGGAAAGATAATGAGATAATGAGAAGGCTAAAGAGCGAAGCCAGGGGACAGAGGGCGCAGCGCGCGCGCGCGCAGCAGGCTCTGTTTCCGAAGGAATACGTTATCTTGGGCGAGCATCGCCGACGCGCAAGAAAAAGATGAGGGCGGGGACCCACGCGCGGCTCCCAGGCTATGCAAATGCAGTCACATCCTGCATGGTAATGGGACAGGGAAATGATCCTGCCGACTCGAGAATGCCTTTGCGGGAGCCTCTTGGGTATGGGAGATGAGGGAGATGACAGGGGGGGGGGCATCAGGCAGGGGAGTCGGAAGGGGAAGGCGAGGCATAGGCGCAGACTCGCAGGGTTGGAAAGTGCCATCGTTCATGCCCTGATAACACTCTTCCTTCCTATTGGAATTCTTAGTGTCATTTATTATCTATTATCTTAGCTTGTTAGTAATTTAATAAATGGAATCCGAGAGAGGCGTGGGACCTCCAGAGCGCCGAGTCAGGCCGCGGCGCAACGTCTCTGTCCAGCGCGCGAGTGGCAGGCCTCGCGACGACAACAGGGACGACGAGAAATCTCCAGAAATCTTGAGCAAGTCGGCCGCGACCACAGCGTCATCGCGTGAGAGACAAACGGGCTGTTGATGTTGGTTAATGTGCGCTTTGCTAATATTTAAATCAGTAACTCGATAATGTCCGTTGCTTTCATGCCTTTATTTGGAGTCAATATCATGGGCGTCGACTCTCTTGAAGCCAAATTGCGGTTTGCAGTTTCTCCGGTAATTAGTCACCAGATGTCCCGAAACCAGTTTAAAGATGTGGCGGATGATAGCGATATCATGGGACGAAAGTTGGCCTTGTCCGGTGTCTGACAGATGTTCGATTCCGTGTCCACTCTTCGGTTAGCAATGTAACACCATTTAATACGTAAACAAAAAAAGAAAACGAACCTTAAAAAATGGATAGAAAAAGAAAAGGCATAAATGAACACGCGGGGCTTCCGAGGAGGGGCCGGAGGACGGAGGGCTGCGCGCCGAAGTGAGGAGGAATTCAGGAGCTGAGGCGAGGCTGGGCCAGGGCGAGGGGAGTGACAGATCCGCCGGGATAACGGATGGGGACTCGTGGAAGCAACGCTAATTTTCATGCTTAAGGCCCGCAACTGTGAACTGGCCGGCGTCGTTTATCTGTTTCCCGGCGGCCAACGGAGGCAGGAGGCTTCACTTTGCATTTTTGCCTTTGTTTGTTTGTTTAATTGTTCGTAAGGCGTTTTTCGTGGTTGTTTCGTGTCTTGTGCTGTTGATGGTGGGTCTCTATCGCATGTGTTTTGGTCTTGAACTTGAGAGAAAACTTTCTGTATTGAATTAAGTCTTTACCGATTCTGTAAGTGATTTGTCTGTTATTTTTATTATTATATACTGTCATTAATTATTATTTACCCGGTCTCTATCTCAATCTATTTTTATGCGCCTAGGGATCGAATCAGCCAACTAAAAGAAAATCAAAACAGGGTAACAGAAGACAAAAAAGTTGAACAGAGATTAAAGAAGACCAGACGATAAAGATAATTGACAAGAAGGCAGGAAAAAGAAGCGTTTTTTTCTTTCTTTCTGCTTCTAATCCACCTGCTTCAGCTCCTCCTTTGTGGACTTCACTAATAATGCAGTCAGACGAGCTGTCATTTTGCTCACCGTGGACTCTCGCCTTGTCAGGGGGGGCGGGGGTACCAGGAGCGATGGGGAGAGGTTTAAAGGGGGTAATGGGAAGGTGTGAGGGAGAGGAGAGAACGAAAAAGAGGGAGAGTGAGAGAAAGAAAGAAGAGAAGAGAGAGAGAAGACAGAGAGAGACAGATAGACAGAGAAGAGACAGACAGAGAGAGTTACAGAGACAGAGACATAGAGAAGGGAGATGAAGGGGAGAAAAAGAGAGAAAGATGCACGTGGGAGAGAGGAGAGAGAGAATGAATGAACAGGTATTTAAATATATGCATGTATGTACTGTCATACAGATCTTTGTATACATGCATGCACTTCTGTATGTGTACGTACGTATGTATGTATTTATACAATAATTCGTAAATATGCAAATATACTTATTTATGCTCACAGATATATCAGCACAGAACCAGGATATGCTTTAGAAGCCCGCGGTCGAGTTTGAGTTTTGTTGTGTTAATGGAGGCGGAGACGGCGTGATGGAGGTGCGGGGGTGGGCGGGGCGGGGTGGGCGGGCGGGGGCGGGGCGGGGCGCGGAGTGAAAGAGATAGAGACATTAATCCGCGTCTGAGAGTTCTGAAAGTTTTACATGTTTAGGGTTATGGTGCGTAGGCGCTGTAATGGCCCGGCTGCCGGACAAGGTTGGAACAAGGAGGGGTTTGTATCGCGGCGGCGCCATGTCACGGGGTGTTGCTGGTCAGGCTCTGTAGCCCCCTGGAAGACTCGCTTTACACGGAGCTGCGAAGGGTGAAGGGATTACGTTGACGGGGTGGATACAGCTGATGCATTTTTATTTTGTATTTATTTGTTGAGGCCTTAGCAGCTCTCTCAGGTTGCTTTTAACGCACCAATTACATAAGTACAAGAGATTCTCTTTCGCAGCATCACGAACCACTTTACCTCGCCATTTTCTTTTTTTTTATTTCTTTCCTTTTTTCTCCCACGCTGTAATTACAAGACTGGGTTATCGACAGTAATTAGCCCTTAATTTCTGGAGATACTTGATGATAACTCGCCGCGCATGAGAGGTGGTTGAGAAGAACATGACTTCCACGATGAGGCTTGTCTGTAACTCGCGTTCTTCGGGGCGGCGGGGTGACGTGACGGCGCTGTGACGGGATGACTGGGTGGATTGCGTGACGCTGGATTACGTCATCGTGGATTGCGTGACGCTGGATTACGTCATCGTGGATTGCGTGACGCTGGATTACGTCATCGTGGATTGCGTCAATCGCGTTACGGAAATGGGAATGCAAGGCTCTGTAAGGATGTCTTGTAACGCCTTAGGAGAGCGCGGAGGACGTGGGTTGCAAGCCGGCATTGGAGGCGACAGATAGTGATAGATATGTTGGGTTGCGAGCGAGCGTTGCAAGGGGAGGTCATTGATATTGTTTAGCGCATCAAACCCGGCGCGACGCTGATGTTCGCGAGCTCATGTACTCGGCCAGTGGATGCGAACAGAAGTATTTATTATTAGAATTGATGATG